TGATATTTTTGTTTCATCAACTTGTTTGTCAATAATTTATCTCGTTTTAGAAATTGTTCGTACGTAAAGCATGCTCTTGCGTACCGAATCAATTGAGATATATAAAGGCTATATGCAGGTGAAGAAGGTTTATTGCTGCATAAGTAAGGGAATTTGACGATAGAAAAGTTAAAGCCATCATGGTTATCATGCTCCCCAGGATATATCGTATCGACGTACATGTAGGAATGGAATGACCATTGTTAATTGACAATACGTCGACGATATATCTAAACGTCGAGTTGAAGGCATCAGGAAGTGTTTTCTTCTTTTCACGCATTAGATTTTGCACAAATTCTGCTTCATATGACTATAAAAATACACACATTTTGTATGTTACCGACTCGGAGGCATCTGTCAATTTGAAAACGTATGACCTAAGAATCAGGAATTGTTGTGTTAGGACTCGGGTCCTTAGAGCATGTACTTATTCCATAAAACAAATATGTAACATATTGGGGAGGGAAGAAATTTTTCAACTCTATACCTGTACTTGTGGGCATCTAATGAACATATAGTCCATGCCATGTATTTTTTAAAATAGTAAACAGATAAAGTAGGCTGATTCAACCATGCAAATGTTAAGATATCATGACAGCTGGATTTTATTTTTTTTACGAGTTGATGGTATCAACTCATGTTATGTTACTGGTATGGGATTCCCCATGTATCGAAACTAATCACATTTTCGTTTGAGTATTTTGTGTAAGGTTCTTATATAATATTGGCTTATTTAAAATATTCATAATCTACAGAATTAGAATATGTTTCCTGATATGCTTTGATGTGTTTATAAACTTAAATATTATTTATTTTTTGGGAATTTGTGTTAATCCGCGAGAGAAAATAGTGCAAGGGGCATGCAGTCAAAAGTTGTGGTATGTCGTGCAAATAAAGTTTTGATTTTTAACATGTTTAAGTCAATGAATATTTTCTATTATAAGTCAGTTATTTGAAAACAGATTTTGAAAGAAAAATTACAAAATTAAATATTAATTTACAAACCAGGTTATTTTTACAAGACTGACGTGTTAGTGGTATATAAATAAACTAATCCTTGCGCTGATCCAGTATGCTAATGACCAGTGCAATTTTCCTGTGATAACTAGTGATGAAGTGTTTACATATAGAACACTACTTATGTTTGTAAACAAAGCGAGAAACACTTAGAGTAAAGATGGTCGAAGTAAATCAAATATTGAAGGGAAGAAATGAGCTGTACCAGTTGATAAAATATTTTTTATGTAAATGTCTTTACTTCTTGTGCAAACAATAAAAGAACCACTGTCTTCCACAATTTAGATCTGTATCACAGACAGCTTTAAATACAGTAAAGGTCACTTAACATGCTTGTGATTCTTATCTCATATCAATTGTCGGCGCTACTCTGGAAAGAGAGTTCCTTTACTACATCCAGCTGTGTCTTACTGTCAGATGCTGGCAATGTGATACAGTGAATTAAAAGTACAGAAGACAGTAAAACAATAATAACAAAAAAAAAAAAATACAAAAAGATTAATTAAATCGGGTTTATTCTTAAATAAAATGTGAGATATTTGTTTATAGTTGTGAATCAAGAGACTGAAAAATCAAATATATTCAAAAGAAAGTAGATAGATTACGTAAACGATTAATATACCATGTCATTGTGATAAATTTTAGTCTTCAGTCATAAAGCCAAAAAGAATCGAAATATTAATCGTTTATAAATTTATCAAAGTCATGTAATTGAATAACAAAAGAGCTAAATTTAAAGAAATGTAATATTACATGTGCAAATCAATTGAAGTCAGGTAGATATATTTCAAGAGTGACTAAACCAAACGAAAAAAACATAAAATAAAAATGTTCATTTCAATTAAAAGTAAAAAAGAGTTGAATTTTACGAGCAGCTGAATCGGGAGAATTGGAATATTTATTTTGCATATCAACTATCATACAAGCCAAGGAGTTGAATTTCACGAGTGGCTAAATCAAGAAAATATCAAATATACATGCAAATTTTGAAAGACGTGGAGCTGAATTTGTCAATTTAAGAAAATAATGAAAATATGTGATGTGCATATCAATGATTTTATTCGTTGGCGCTCTTTTTTAAGTTCCCTATTTCTAATATTGTTGAAGGTTGGTCCTCTTAGTTTGAAATATTTGTGTGAAAAGCTGCTTCATTTATTTCATCATATTATACTTTCATGTAAATTACTTGAATCTGATTCGTCGAGAAACATTTGATAAAACACACTACTACCCGCTGAATAATGAAGCCACGCCCTCCTGCGTAGCAACAGTCAACATTGCTTGACGACGGGTGGTATTACAAAAAATAGCGACTGCGCAAAATTTATGTGCGCACGGTTCACTGTTATACGCATTTGTATAAAACATTCAGTATAATATAATAAATAGTGCATGTAGTTGAGTGTAACATTGAAAATTTTCACCCCTCAAAAACCATTGTCAACCTCGGCTGCGCCTCGGTTGACAATGGTTTTCTTGGGGTGAAAATTTTCAATGTTACACTCAACTACATGCAATATTTATATAATAGCACATAACACATATAACCCAAATATGGATCAGAGACCTCAGCTCATTTTAACATGTGTGGCGCAGTAGTTAGAGCGTCTGCTCTAGAGTCGCGAAGTAAGTAGTTGATCCTTACATCGTGCGTTCGAATCCCACTACGGGACCTGGCGACCGGTCCTTCAGTTGAGACCGTATAAATCGAGGTCCTGTGTCGCAGTATGTACTGGCACGAAAAAAAATCCATCACTGATCAATGACCGTAAAGTGCCGAGTATAGGACAAAATTTGCAGCTTTACACTGGCAAGTGGAGGGGTCTAGTCATATGAGTAAACATTCTCCAGAGGGATGTTAAACAACATACAAACAATACCATCAACTCGTAGCAGTACTTTCAGTACTTTGATTATGTTTAAAATTATGTCTGTATATTTTTTTCTTAAATCTGTTCATCTACTATATCGACACAATGAATAAATTGTGACAATGACACAACCGGTAGATATAAAAGACGAAAAAAAAAATGTACATGTAATCCAGATTGTAGAATTCATGAAAAAAAAATTACGACGGAATAAAGACTAATTTCTTAAAAGTTTATTTTTTGAAGGCAAATAAAATACAAAGAAGAAAAACAACGTCAAATATTACTCACTCCATGGAGCGAATAACAAGATAATGCCCTTATTTGTGCTTATTAGATGATTTACTTACCATCTCCCATAAGTGATATAATTTATCCATAATCCATATTTTCATCTATGTTGTTCTCAGATTTCCCTCCACATTCCATAACTTTGGCTTGAAGTTTCGCACGCGCTTCTTCATTGTTATCCGCTCGCTGATTGGATAGTGACCTAATTCTTTGTGTATATAAACACAAAGACTCGCCGAAGGTGTTAGATTTGACTGATATACTAGACTAATATTAGAAATAATATATTGAATATTAGAAAGAAGATAATGACCCAGAAGGTGTTGTTTATAAATCTTAGAAGAGTGCATCTTCTCCATTTACGATGTTTTGTTTATCTCAACAATATCTTCTATACTTCCCCTATATTCAGATGGTTTTTGTTTCCAGAGTGATGCACCTTATACAATTATGTATTTTTACGCCTTCCCTGCGTCACTAGGAAGTTCCAAGCATCGCGTTTGTCTTATGTACTTTTATACAATAAATTATAACACGCGTATAATATGGTTTTTATACAAAGACTTTCTCTTGTTTGTTGACTGTCAAAAGGCACAGAGCCCACGTATTATTTATAAGGAAATGCTGTAGAGTAAAGGAAAAGTAATTATTTATATACTACCAAGTTTACTCCAAATACTACATTCCTCTGTACTGAAGACTTGTGATGAATATTCTACCCCATTTTGACCCACTCTGTCGCTCACGGCATATATCTAATGAAGATAATTTTTTATGCCAAGGAAATTTATAAACAAGATCAAAAATGAATTAAAAAAATTACATTCTTTTTGTTACAATAAACTTTAAAATCTATGTAGTGGTTCTATCGATATTATAACCTCCTAAAATATCTCCTAAGTAGACGTATTTTAAACACTAATGTTATCTGTTAAAACTTACCGTTATAGAGTATCGAGATTTTTCCTCAACTTTTAGAGAAAATGAAAATTCTCTATTGAAAATGGACCAAAAATTGGGATTCGGCACTGTAAAGGTCCATTCTTGTGACTGTAATAGATTTAATCTCATGTTCATCTGCTAGAAATGTACATCGCATGCTTCTTTTGATCGGTTACACATTTATACAAAAACAAATGTAACAAATAGCTATACTTTATTCATTATCGTAAAGTGTAAACTGTATTAAAAATCGTGCATAGAAAAAAAGGATTTATTTTTCCCGAATCCTATATTCTAGTGACAAGAAATTGCCTTTAAGATGTCTCATGTAATTTAGTCAAACGAAAAATATGTCCCGAGGACTTCAACGGGAACAAATATAAAAAAAATAATTTAATTATACAGTGTAACTAGAAATTGGAAGGTAGAAAAATACACGTAACTGTCGATTAATGTAATTCGGCTCAAACTTACACCCAATGTATTGTGAAATTTATATCCTGTAATAGGCCCATTTCTATCCTCTACGTTAGCTTCCTCCCAAGCAATTTGAACACTGTCACAACGCAAAATCTTTATCTTCAGATTCTGCGGTCTACCAAGTCCTGAAAATAAACGTTACATGTATAGTACAGGATGTTTAAGTTGACATAAAAATGTTTATGCCTTGATTTTTTATATGTATGTCTTGAAAGTTAAACGTAATTTCAAAAATGTGTTGATTTCGTATTGGATGCTTTTTTTTTAAATTTATCTGTGTCAACCGAAAATTAAAATAGCAAACAAGAACATCCTATAAATATATATGCTGTGTGTTTTAAGACACCATGCCTTGCTTACTTCCACTTGGCGGTGTTGTGAAGAGATGTTGTCGGCTGATGCTTGCTGCTCCAGCAGAAGTGCTTGGTGTGACTGTTACAGTGTAGTTGTAGAAGTTGTGAAGTTGGTAATTATCCCGACGATATTGTGGAACTAAATGTATTAAAGATAATTAAGATGACAACATTCATGTAAAAAAAGGCTCGTCATATATGACTTTAACGTACATGTATTTTAAAATCAGGTCATTCATGGAAAAAGTAAAAAAAAAAAACGTTACAAACAATACAAATACAAAAACAGGTAAAAAAGATCCTCGGAAATTCCTCTGGAACCATTGTGTTTAGGCGGATTCCGAAGTCAAATTAAATAGGAATTGGTATGAAACAATCAATTAATGAATATTACCTTTCAAGTTTGATTGAGTGACGAGTATTTGAGATCTGATTGCATCTCTAAGGACTAATGTATATACTAGATCCTCTCCAGGGAAGGGGGGTGGATTCCAGGTTACATTTAATACCCTGTTACTAGGAGAATAAGTAGCAGTAATGGTGCCATCTTCTATTGCATTCGGTACTATAAGAAATACACATATTTATAAATAATATTTCCATATTTTGTTTCTCTGTAATAAATCTTTGAAAGTTAAATGAGTTAATTCTCCCTTTATGCAAATTATTCAACGTTTCCAAATAGCATACTCACCAAACTATGTAGAAATTCCTTAAATAATTTTATTCATTTGTATAAAGGAAATGGGAGAAGAAAGATCTTTTTCGCATTTACAACAACACCTATAAATCACTCAAAATCTAAACAGTTTTTAGTGCAAGCTTCTACATAATCCAAGCTGTGTTTGTGGGTGGTTCCAATCTCTTATTGGATTATGGCTGTTTGTTATTTTGTTTTATCCCCCCTTTTTGATGGCAGACAGCAGTTAAGGACATTTTGTATATTTTTTTAATCTTATGAATTTATAAGGGGGTCAATTTGAAATACATGAATTCTGTATCTTGTGAAAGATGACAGGGTTTGAATTCGTACTCTTGTCTGGTTGACTCCGTTTTTTTCTATGCATATCATGTTACAATGTCATTATGGTACAAGGGGTCAGATTGAGCAATACTTTGCCCATGATGTGTAATACTCTATTTGAGTCTCCCTTTTCTGACCCTCCATTTTTTAAACCGTGTTTTACTTCTTTCGTCATTTACTTTAATAAATGACATATTTCACTTCTACGTGATGTTATTTGCTTTTACCTGCTTTATACCAAAACATGCTCAGTCGATTTGTCAGAACTAAGGCATATAATGTGTTTTAATTCAAAGATAATATCAACGTAATCGTTGCTTTATGCTTGTGGTTTTGTTTAATGTCTGTACTTCGTTGTTTTCAACATTTGGCATTTATGAAGTAACAGTCAAATTTAGAGTGTTGTTCTATATGTAACATATTGTTGTTATGAATTTTTGAAGAAAAATATGTTTTTTTTTTCTTTTAATAATAGAACAATATTTTCGTTATTAAAGAAGTGATGCTCCTTTTGTTCTGTAATGTATATATTGCACTTCCTCAGATTATCTTCATTTTCAGTAAAAAAAAAAGCTATTCTTTAAAATTTAAGTACGTATGAATCATTATAACTTATAAACAAAGCTTACATATTTTTCAACTTACCAATACTTAAGGTTTTTAACGATATTTCAACTTTTTTCCCAGGTCCAGCTTTGGTATATCCTATCACTTGGACTGTGTACGTGGTTCCAAGTCTGAGGTTATTTATATTTAAAGACATTTCCTTTTGGTTTACTTCGATACTATTGTCATTCTGTATAAGGCAGGTGTCACTGGGAGGACCGAGTAGTGTCTGACAAAAAATGCTATAACATATAACCAATATGTGAGGAGCGTAAGTGTTCTTTTTGTGTATTATCATATTATGAATTTATTCTCATAATAATTATATAAAAGGAAAAAGACATTTTACAGTAAAATCACAACAGACTTAAACTTTTATGCATATTTCGAGTGCATGCTGGTCTAGAGACAATGTAAGAGTAAGACATTTTGATACTTATGTTCAAATACTAATGTTCAAATCTTTGTACACTTTTAAAGCATAATGTATATTTATTATGTGTTTTTGTTTTCACCTCTAATATAATCATCGAATTGTTAAGTTTTCATTTCATTTCAATGAACTGATAAATAAAAAAAAAAATTCAAGTGCCATGGAATATAAGATAAGATCCAGACAAAATTCCATGTAGAGAATGCCTGAAAAAAATGAACTAGAGGTACTGTGAGCAATGAGCTCACTAAATTATAACCCCCCCCTCTCTCTCTCCCCTATACTCATGGCAATGTCCATGATTTGCTGTGGCCGGGAAACCAAAAATATGCGTCGGATCAAAAAGTAAAATAGGAGGTGCACAATGGCAATATGTAATAAAGATTCTGTGAAAGTTGCATAAAATTTCACGTGGTATAAGAGGAGTTGCGGATAAGAGATGGGTACCCCAAAGCGTAACAGACAGACGGACGGACATACCGATTACAGTATACCCTCCCACTTTTCAAGCGGGGGATATAATAAGGGCGTTTGTGAATTTTAGTGGTTTGGAAAAGTATCGATCCTAAATATCATTCAACATTCTCAAAAACTTTTGAAATCCAGAGTAAGATATTGGCATTATCAATGGAAATCTTTTAATTTCCGAGATAAAATGTTTTTAAATTTATAGAATGGTACTTATATATTTTTTTCATCTTATTTAAATGTTATAACACCTTAAACCATAGAAATTACCAACTGACCAATTGCTAAAGTGATTTTTTTAAAAACAAAATAAAAACAATTTTGTTATTAAACCAGTAAACATATCGACGCCATCATTACTGTGCAATCATAGTTGTACAAATTAACGAACAAAGCCCTGCATGGCAATTGATTGATTGATTGACTGATTTTTGCTGTTTTACGCCGAGTCGACAATATTCCAGTCATATTTCGGCGGTATGAATTTACTGCATGAACGGTTTTGAAAGTTTTTGAGTTTCTCCGGTGGCCCCCAATGACCCTACTCTATTTCGAAAACCAGAGAAACGATCTTTAACGTGCCAAGGGGGTTGTTATCCTTGACACGGCTCACCATTTAAGGTCCCATCCGACGGACTTTAATTGAAAATTCATACACAGATATATTACATTTAAAGTGATCTAAAAAAAGAAAAAAATAAACTGCGTATAAGTATTAGTTAAATGAACCCAGATTAAACTTGAGGTACTGTGAGCAATGAGCTCACTAAATAATACCCCCTGCCTCCCATATGATTATTATGGCAAAGTCCATGTTTTGCTGTGGCCGGGAAACCCAAATTATATTTCGGATCAAAAAATAAAATAGGAGGTGCTCGATGGCAATATGTAATAAAGATTCTCTAAAAGTTTCATTAAATTTCACCCAGTGGTATAAGAGGAGTTGCGGATAAGAGATGGGTACCCCAAAGCGTAACAGACAGACGGACGGACATACAGATTACAGTATACCCTCCCACTTTTCAAGCGGGGGATATAATTATGTGAAACTGAACCAGCGCTTTCTGAAATGTTGGTGATTTAAAACCTCTTTTCCAAAAACATTAGAGGAATCAGTAGATGACTGACAACTTTTATAAGGTTTTAAAATTTACTCACAATATTACAGATGACAATACAAAACTGGTAAATCCGACAGGTAACTTCGGGACCCTCTTTCAGTATTGCTCTATATGCAACCATAACCCCGTTTGGCATGACAGGTCTACCCCAACGAATTGAACCGCTAGACGTGGTCTGGTCATATACTTCATTTTCAATCCGATTAACTTCTCCTGGTACTAAAAACATAAAATAAATTTCAAATAAAATATCTGGATTTGTTATTTTTAAACCGTTTAGAGTCCATGCAATCCAGTTAAATAATATATTCAAGGCATGTTAGTATTTTTTCTTAAATTTACTTTTAAATACTTAGTAAGAATTTTGATTATCAGAGATAGATCAGATTAGAAAAGAAGAAGAGAACTTAATCTTTATTTCACAATTTATGCACACTGTTTCTGAAATATATAGTTGGTACGTAAATTGAAGGCATGACAAAAATTTGCGATTCTCTTTTTTCTGAGCTGCAAGTAATGTACAGTGAGATGATATACAATCAAGATTTTTTTATGCTTGATACATCAACTTTCATAAAATGAAGCATATAGTTACTCAACCATGTAAATATCACTAATAACTGATATAATTATATAATCAAAAGACATTTTATTTACCACCCGGAAACGTTTCAATTCCAGTAATATTAGCACTTGTAGAACTGTTAAAACGATCATTTACGGTAAAAACAGATATATTGTACTCAGCACCTGAAAGAGAAAAAATAAGAAAGAAGGACATGGAAACAACGAACAGTATTCAATATTAAAGTCTATAAAAATACAAAATAGGAGCAGAGCAAACACGGACCTCCGAAACATCAGAGGTGGCATCAGGGGCCATGGAGGAGTGAGCATCCCCTGTGGACCGGTCACACTTGCCGTGTGCTTTTTGTCATGATCGGGAAATAACGGAAAATTCCGTCGTCAATTCCATGTATAAATAATGGACTAACAATTAGTTAGAAAATTAAAATTATTCAGAAATAAGGCTAAACATTAAAATGATTATTCATCAGAATGTTCTTTACCTGTATAATTAACGAGATACACAAAATATTTACTTCCGTAAAGTGAATATCTAAAAATATATATGTTTTCTTATTAAATATATAAAGTTGCCGATCATTTACAATCGACAGCCCTCCTTTTTTTGTGGAACATCGAATTTTACTTATCAAATTAAATAGGACATTACACAGTTCATGTTTTATTTTCTTTAAACGAAATTTTTTTTTTGAAAAAAATAGATGATGCATTTGTCTGATTTAATATATATTTTATGCAGCCAACATTTACTTGAGGAATTGATAAAGTTTAAAAGAGTATTTTTTTGTTTGTTTTCGATTATCAACCGACTATAAGTTTTCAAAATCTTTTCTACTATCCCCATTATTTAGACGTAATGTCTTTTTCACACAAAATGAAACGGTTTGATGATTAAGACACATTTCTATTGTTTACAGCATTTATTTCCCGAGCGACAATTGACGGCTACATCAATGTTTTCTTTTGATATTAATTTATCAGATTATAAGTAACCGTTCAAAATAAGCAACATAGGGCAATGTTACATACAAAGAAGAAAGAATATCTATCCAGCATATAGCTGGTGCATCTTCTAGTACGTAACTTTTATATTTAATCACTTGTTACTCTACTATGAAGGATATGGAGATAACGAACAGTATTCAATCTCAAAGTCCACAAAACAATACAAAATAAGAGCAGAGCAAACACGGACCTCCAAAACATCAGAAATGGGATCAGGTGCCATTGAGGAGTGAGCATCCCCTGCTGACCGGTCATACCCGGCGTATTCTCCTTGTCATGATCAAGAAATAACGGAGAAATCCGTCGTCAATTCAGTGTATAAATAATGGACTAATAATATACATGTATGAAAAACGTCAATCAACATTTGAAAAATTGTATTTGCTGACAAGGTCATTGTATCGACCATAGAACATACAAAATGATGACTTTAAACGAGACTGCTGATATTCTTGTTTCATCAACTTGCTTGTCAATAGTTTACCTTGTTTGAGATGTTGTTTATACGTATTGTTTATAATATGATGTTATTTTCAATTATTTTCAATTGTGAAGTTTATACGCTATTGTATAACTACCTTTGTTCCCCGCTTTCGCGAGAGCGATGGGACATTAACTCTCATTCGTCTGTCAGTCTGTCTAGCTGTAGTCCTGTCTTTTGTCACAAAATCTTTAACCTTGGTCATATCTTTTGAATGAGATTAATTGATTGATTGTACGTTGTTTAACGTCCCTCTCAAGAATTTGCCACTCATATGGAGACACCACTACTTGCCAGAGCCCACTACTTAGGGTTACAAATTTTGTCCTATACTTGGCACTCAGGACGATTGAGCAATGAGGGGTTTTTTTCATGCCAGTACCTACTGCGACACGGGACCTCTGTTTAAGCAGTCTCATCCGAAGGACCGGTCTCTACGTCATACAGTGGGATTTGCGTCGAAAGCATCGACTCCTTCTTTTGCGACTCTAGAGCAGACGCTCTATCCACTTTGCCACACAGGCGACTTTTGAATGAGAAGAGATATGACTATCATGTAACATATAGCATAGGACATATGTATATTACCTGTGACAAGACCTCTCTGAACACACTTTTTACCCCTTGACCGTGGAGTTATACTTCTTTCAAAAGAATTAAACATTATTTTGAGAATGGGCTATAACTGTTGATTTTGATTCTTTGAATTTGCTTGTTGCAGTTAATGTTTTCTGAGTAAATTCTTATATTTGTCTGTAAGTTCAAGTTCAGTTTGTTAAAGAACATTTTTTCACTTTTGTATATTTATACTGCATTTAGGATAACTTATTGATAACTTTGATAACTCTAGATTTCTTTATTAAAGCTTTTGTTTTAAAACTGATGCCCATTAAGTAAATCTATGGTTTCTCACCTGGAAAAATATGTCCATGTCTCTTTGGTTCCAGTATATATATGCCTGAGTATGACTTTGGTAAAATGATCATGCCATGACGATCTGGCTCGTCTCTGTACACTTTGTAAGTCAGCTGGAAAATGTACTGGATGATATCTCCATTAGGCATATCAGTGTCAGTGATATTTACTGTTACATTCCATTGTCCAGCAGCTGCTCCAACATATATAGGTGGATGTGGGACTAAACAAATATAAACATATATGAGTACAGCTTAATTGATGAATTACCAATTTACTTTGTAGTACTTAGTTAAACCCCTATTTGTACGAATGACAGTTTAAATGCAGAGTTTTCAAAAACTATCATAAAATTCATTTACAATGTACTTGTCGTGATGAGACTTTGTAAATAAATGACAAAACGACTCCAAAGAAAAAATACGAAGCACATCCATATAAAAAAATCTAGTGCAAATATTTTTATTGCTGAAACTAAATCTCACAATTTTGTATAGCTTTTATACAGTACATGATCTAAGCAAACGTTTCACACTTCAAGTCAATTTAAGAACAACAAAATTGAATAGAAATTTGAAGACGGGAACATGTCGAAATATCAAATAAATATAGAGACAATAATTCTATAATCGAAAAATGGGCTTACGCAACAAACTAGATGGTTATTCCTCATGTTTTCATTTCACAATAAAACAAGTATATACTGACAAAACGTCAGAAATACTCAAGCTGTAGAAAGTCAATTAGGAAGTGTCATTAATATCCTAAAATGGTATAAGATGAGGGCTATCGAGTTCAGTCTTCTGTTGAATAAACTAAATGTACATGAAACAAAATTCATATATTGAATTTAATTAGAAGAAATATAATTAATCGTACTACTTTTTAAGATGAATTTCCGTGACACACTTTCAGGAATATTTTATAGAGCATAATAACCTTGCCGTTTCTTAATGACTTTTTTAAATGTAGACAGTTAGTATACTTCAAACTATATAAGTTTTTTGTATTTTTTGCTTAATGACGTACATCACAATCAATATATACATCAATCTAAATAGCTTGCTTCAAGCCTGTAGAAAAGTTTTTCAAAGTGGAAGGGGGGGGGGGCTCTGGGCTCCAGTAAATTCCACGTGACTACGGGTTCATTCATCGTTGTAAACCACGGCCAAAATGTACGATACTCTCCTACTCCGGACCGTGTCTTGAGACGAGGGGGTTTATCTAGCTGAGCGACATGTCCAATACATATTCCGTACGAATCCAAGAGAAGTTATTATAATATAATATAGGTTCCGTAACCAAAGCTTAAGATAATACGAGAATTTAACATTGATTTTGTGCTCTCATTTTACTGTCACCCAATTTCTTATTTGCAGGCCCGTGAAAAGCAATTTCAGTAGGGGGTACAGCCATACATTTTCTGACCATGCATTGTAGAATTTGTTAACGATGGGGTAACCTGCGTCACCTTTCAGAGTCTGCAGTGGACTCGTCCAAGGATGCTTTGTCGGCGACTGTAAAAAGTTACCTGAGATTCCTACGCAAAAGAAAGCGCGAAATCTCTGTATAGAAACTGTAGCGGCTGCGGAGCTTCACTCATTGTTCATTCGCCATAGAATAGAATCCGATAATTGACACTCAATATCTTTGAATATACATACGTTTTCAAGATAAGCTTCATTTTTGTTTCTAGAAATCTTTTTATCTACAAAAATTATATAGCTTTGTGTTTTTAAACTGAGTAAATCGATGACCTAGCATCGTTTTAGATAACTCAAGCCCCTCTAGGGCTTGAGTAATGAGATCGGGAGGCCCGGGTTCGATTCTCGTTCGCGGCGCCGCGTCAAACCTAAGACGTAAAAATAGGTAGTGACTGTTCCTTCGCCAAGCGCTCGGCATCAGAAGTGAAAGTCACGGGTTTTTCGGATATGACCTTAAAAACGTAAGTCCCGTGTCACGGTAGGCGCTGGCAAGATAAAGAACCCTCACTGCTCAATGGTCTTGATTGCCGAGTATAGGTCTAAACTAGAAGCCCTTCACAGGCATACGGTGACGTCTCCATATGAGTGAAAAATTCTCGAGAGGGACGTTAAACAATATACAATCAATCAATCACAATGAAATGAGATTGTAAATTAAGACTTTGAAAAAATCGATTAATATAAAGATTTAAATAACACATGGCCTCCCGTGTCAATTACAATGAAGTCCCCACCCAAAGACGTCAAATTCGTAGACAACCGCACGAGATTTACATACATACGAGGCCTGGCACAGACAGCCGCACTAGATTATATGCTTATTAGACCTTCTTAGCTCCGTTCGCTGGACAAAATTCATATTCTGGTAGAATGATCAAGAAATCAACCCACCTAACTTACAAAGTTATCACAGAAAAAACAAATAGAAATGGCAATATAAACGTATTTAGGCTAGCTAGTTTGAACTAAGGAAGATATTGATTGTATAGAGATCTATAGTCAATGAAATTTCCTAACCAAAAACGGAGGTTCCAGTACAAGTACACTTTTATGAAGGTAAATTTTAAACTGGGGTGGAGGGAATACCATATTGTCATGCATCTTTATATACATGCATTACGTTAATGGGTAGTTCATTGGAATACAAGTCAGGAAAATACAAAATGTATTCCTATTTTATAGGAATGAAATCGTTGTTTTCTGAAAGATGACAAATATAAATCTATTGAATCTCTAAATAGTAAATATTCATTTTAATTGTTCAGGAAGAAAGTGAAATACCCGAAGACTCTGTGCGAAATTGTTTGGTTAATTCAGAGCTGTTTCTTCTGTATGGCTCATCTGTTTCTTGAACAATTGTGAAATAGTAGATTGTTCCATGCTTCAGATCAGTGAATGTTATGTTTGTATTACTTGTGGAGGAAACAATGTTAACTCCAGGACCCGTAAAATATATGTAAAACATGCTGAAGTATGGATTTCTTGGTGTCCATCTAATCGTTACATTCGGTGCATAATAAGGTGGATCGACAATAATGTTTGGTTGCCTTGGAACTGTCAATAAAAAGAATTTTAAAAAATAATTATTTTAGAGGTTAAACGCTGTAAATAAACGATATAAATAAGTTTGTAAATTTAAGAGAAAATCTAAAATCGATTTATTTTTCCACATATGCGGGGTTACTTTACCTGTCCTAACATATTCCATTTTTGACATTACAGACTCAGTCCTCATGTCTCTCCCTGTGACATTGGACGTGATTTGAAGACTATGCACATCTCCATCGGTCAGGTACTCAATTAAGTGAGGACTGCTAACGTTACTGACCATTGTACCGTTAAATGTAATGGTAAAATACACTTCAACACCGGGATACTGGGTCGTATTCCAAGCTACCAGTATGGAAGTTTCTGTCACGTTTTCAATAAATATATTCGCTTGAAAGCCGTCAACTGAAATAAAAAATGAAAGAAATGAGTAATTGCAATAAATACTGGTTAACAATAAAATTGTTTACATTTTTACTTCAAATTACATTGTGTAAATGGTTATTGTTCTTGATAATTATCCTTTTGTACCTGTACTTTATATGATTTTTTTGTCATTTAAATTTACGTTTTTGTACAATGTGTTTATTAAAAATTCTCATAAAGTTATAATTATCAAATGTTTACCTGAAATGCATGACATATCGCCGACGAGAACAAAGCTTTGTTTGCATTGACAAACTCTGGTTAAATTATTACACTCTGCGTTTAGGAATGTACAGTTACTGATACTGGAGCAATCAGGTAGTACGATTGGCGAAAGTGAAGTAGTAGAAACATACAAACACTGAAAGAAATACATAGTTAATTGTTAATTTAACCAGTTTGCCTCAATCGTATAAAGCATTCTTTGTGATTAGTAATCATTCTGTATACTAGCTATAAGCAGGCCCAGTCCAAAGACTATTTCTACCTACGTAGCTATTAATAGCTACGTAGGTATTTAAACCTACCCAAAATAGCTGTATTTACCTACTTTTTGTATTAGCTGCATTTTGTGACCAAAAGACGAAACGGCGCAACATGGTGAATACCATATATTTTGATAGAGTCACACTAATGATGAATACAACGAAATTTTGGCCAAAATATGATTACTTCCTAAATCTTCAAATTTACATTAATTTCTATGCAAAATTGTTAATTTACGAAGTAACTTTTTTTTGGTCAATTTTTTGTCATATCCATCATCAGTGTGACTGTATCAAGAAATATGGCATTTACCATATTGCGTCGTTCAGCCGTTTGGCCACAAAATGCAAGTACACCAGAAAGTAAGTAAAAATAGCTACTTTAGGTAGGTTTTATTAACTATGTAGCTTCTAATAGCTACGTAGGTAGAAAAAGTTTTTGGACTGAACCTGATAAGATAGTGAGTAGAAGGTGTCTCGTAGAGCGGGTGATCTATATATACCAGATAACCTAGTGAAAATTACTAATAAATATGTATGGACAGTAAATTTACTAGTTTTCTTAGTGACCTTTAACTAGTTATTTTTTTTTCATTGTGTTTTTTTCTGGATATATTTTATCATCATTATATTGTAGCAATCTGAAAATAAATTGTTAATAGAAAAAGAAATTGTTGGGAAGTACTATTTATCAAATCATAAATAAATAGTGGCACGTCATTGTTTTCATTGTGACGAAATTTTTAATGTTTGTCTCAACTCTTATCCCGACACCTTGGATATCTCGACATGGCGAGTATATAAAAGCAAAACCATAATCAAGTAAGTAAAAAGTCTATTTTTTAACCTTTCCCATGAAAATAATTTGAGAATTCATTTCAGAACAAATTTTGTGAGGTAATTGTAGAAGTGCTTCAAAGGGTTTATTTATCCGAGCACTTTTGTTCGAAACGAAGTTGTTCGGATGAAATTGGTGATATGATAAATTTTCCTGTGTTTTCATATACATTGTAGAAATTCGATATTTTAAGGTTAGGGGAATAAAGTTAGAGATAACGATGTTTTACTATATTTATCTGACTGGCATGATGTTTCACTGACGAGAATAAAGAATGAATTGCAGTGACAAACCCCGGTGTAAGTATTGCACACAGAGTTTGGAGACCTGCAATCTCTGTTACTGGAAAAAGTGCTCAACACGATTGGTGGGGAGTAAGGAGAAAGATACCCTTGTCTTCGAAGCGATCAGTGCAAACCCACTATGCATACATTTATGTCAGTTCATGTTTACGTAATTATTTATAAGATTCATTAGGTAATATTAATAATCGGATAATATTTAGTTGAGTAAGGTAGTGGTTGATGTAAAAGTAATACCAGTATGTCATGCTTCCCGCTCTTTCTATATCCGGGTATTTCCAAGATGGCTACGCCCATAATCAAAGTACTGAAAGTACCGGGAAGCGTTAAGCATACTGGAAGCATTGCAATTTGAAATTCATCAGATTTCTATGCCTCTGGATCGATAGATCCGGGGCGTATATTGTTTTTGTCCTGTCTGTCTGTCTCTCTGTTTGTCTGCAAACTTTAACTTTCGTCATAACTTTTGAACCATGAAAGAAAGAGATTTCATATTTGGTATGCATATTCCTCAAATTGGGTTCTTTCACATGATACCAAGGTCAATCCCTTGTGACTTTGACTAGAAATAGCGTTTTTGTCTGCAAACTTTAACCTTCGCCATAAATTTTGAACCATGCAAAATAGAGACTTTAATATTTGGTATGCATACTCCACTAATTCAGTTATTTCAAATGACACCAATCATTATGATCTTATGACTTTGACTGTGACTTATATGCTAAAAATAGTTTTTTCGTACCTTAGCCATAACTTTTGAACCATAAGAGATATAGACAACATATTTGGTATGCCTAATCCACCAATCAAGTTCTTTCAAATGACACCAAGGTCAATGGCATTGTGACCTTGACTTTGACCTTTGTCAGTGACGTACATGTATATTCCTTTCTGCTAATGTGTAGACTTGTGTTAAGTCACAGATTTAACCTGAGGTGCAAAGTGTGGATAGAAAAGGAGCTTCCTCTCGATAGGTATGGAGGGGTCAAAGGTAGCATTTTTGCAAACTCAGGCATCTACAAATTTAATTTGACCAGTTAATACAGTTTATATCGTGATGCGAAGACCATTTAACAAAACTGAGAACTCTTAACTTATCCTTTAACTCGATATTTGCTTTGAAAAAAATGGAAACTTTACTCAATAATCTAAATTCGATCAAAACGTTGAATTTCCTTTTAACCAAATATAACTCCAGTTATCATTTTTTTGTTCCTGCACATATTTGATGAAATAATCTAAATTCGATCAAAACGTTGAATTTCCTTTTAACCAAATATAACTCCAGTTATCATTTTTTTGTTCCTGCACATATTTGATGAAATTTTCTGATACAGACTATTAATAGCACTTGAACTTTGGCTTAAAAAAATAGTAGGAAGACTTGTTGTTAGTTACATTGCCTGAAATTAAAAGAAATTATAGTTTATGTGGATATGCGCTTAGCGCTTAAAACATTGTTCAATTAGTGTAATCGTAGTCATGTTCAAGTCAAGTTGATTGTTGTATGATGTCTTAATGTTATCAAAGAGTCGTGTTTATTATTAGTATATTATTTCAATATGAATAGTAATTCAGTTTATATTCTGTATTAAGTTTAAGGTAGCTCTACTCTGCGGTAGTGAAACTTTGTGTAAAATGGAAGTATTATTTTCTCAATTTAGTCCCATTAGTCTCAGGTTTACCAAAGATTAATTCACAGATTTAGTCATTTTTGTTTAAAAGTTACATGTATCAGTCTTAAGTCGTACAATAACATATTACTGTGTTAGAGAATAGAGTGGGCGCCAATAAACAAAGCATATTGTAATTATTTCCTCCTCCTCTTTCAGACTCGACTCTATTTGAAACCGGTTAAATCAATAATAGTTAATATTTACATTCAGTGTAATTTTCTTTATGAAATCCATTAGAAATCCATGACGTTCAAATCTCTATAACACACGGAAAACCTTGTCACCGCGCGTTAGAATACACAGCAGGAACTATATGAATTTTCAATACTTTATGAACACCAAAATGTACATTGTTTGACACAATTTTATTTTTAAAAAAATTAACCCTGTTAAATTAAAGCAAAAATGCAACAAACAGGCATTTAAAATTAATTTGTCACTTTTTTTCCTCGCAATATTCGTTTGCGTTATTTAACTTTACGACGTCACAAACGTCACAAACGGCTCTTACGTCTATAAAGCACACCAGTTTTGAAGGGCGCTAAATTCACATTAAAGATTACCGAAATAAACAATTATGAAGAGGAAAAATTAAAGAATGTAAATATAAGCATTGAATTCATATTTTGGGATGTCTTTGGTCCTATAACACACCTGGCGCACGGCGCATTATCCAATTTGTCGGCACGGCCAGGTGTGTTATAGGACCGAAGACATCCCAAAATATGAATTCAATGCTTAATTACATTCACAAGTCGAATCATTATCTCATCAATTTGACATAAAATACACCGAGTGTCACATGTGTTTAATATTTGGATATTTAACTGACTACTAGTGAGAACGTATATCAAAAGTACATGTTACCTTTGTATGACAATCGAGATGATCTCAGGTTTTCCATTGTCAACTGTCTTTATTTATTAATTGCTTTACCTACATAAATTGTTTCCTATCTAATTCGATTGTCAAAGCATTGCTCTAAGTATACGGCCAATTTTAAAAGCAAGGCAGACTATTGGCAAATTATTTTATGATACAGCGTTTTCAACAATATTGTTTAAAGAAAGCATTTTTATATCATATGGTCGTTACAATGACCCTGTTACACAGAATACCCCCCCCCCCCCAAAAAAAAATATATACATTCATCTACTACATTTAAGAAGGCTACAATTGCTTTTGCAATAAACTTAAAGTCCATGCAAAATATTTGGTTGGGAGACCTGGATCCTCCAAACCTCAGTACATATATTATCAATGAGAAAATTTAGTTACATGTTCATTGTTGAAGATGTAAAATAAGCTCTGTTACTTTCACGTACTCGTTTTTCTTCATCAGTTTATTATATTCAAGTTATAAATACTAAAAAAGAAATAAAATGAGAAATGAGTTACATGTGTATTATACGTCCTAATACTAGCAAATATATTTTTTAAAAAAACCAACAGAACATGTACTATTAAAAAAAAAACAAATGTTGTATATGACACTTAAGAAATTATGATGGGGATTGTTTATATTTAAAAATGGTAAAAATTCAAAATGTATAGTGCTGCTGAGAGAGAGAGAGAGAGAGAGAGAGAGAGAGAGAGAGAGAGAGAGAGAGAGAGAGAGAGAGAGTTTTCATCATCATATTACTTACCCTGAAAAATACAACAAAAATTAAAATTAGAGAAGTCCGCATTTTTCCTTCACTTTTGTTACTCCACATCGCATGCAGTCTTATTTATTGGATTCATTATTTCCTGCTATGCCAGTAATTCACCCTAATTCGCTGCCTTTTCTCACGTGGTTTCATTGAACAATAATTTCCATCAATAATCTACACTGAGACTATTAACATATACTTAGTGCTTTTAGTATACAATTTTTTTTCAATATGCAACAGTTTTACAAAACTATTAATTTTTTTTTCATTTTCAAGAAGGATATGGAGATAACAAGAAGAAAACGACTGTTAAATGCTTTATACTTTGATCCATTTCCGTGAAAATAGAAGATGCAATGAATCTACCATAAATGTAGTTTTTATTCCAATTTAGTTAATTATATAGTAGGTTAGGTAATTAAACACTTATTTAATGACAACTCGGTGAAACAGTCAAACTATTGTCCCTCGGTAGTGGGGAAGACCTGGGAAACTGTCTCTCGCAAAAGTCCATTAAGATGACAGTTTAAAACTTAACTTCGATTCCTTTCTCTGCAAACTGGAACTTAAAATGCAATAAATAACATGAATGAGATGAATTGCAAGCGTTAAAGCTATTTTTCAAACAGGTTAAAATATGTTTTTTTTTTTCAAAGGAGATGTTAAATACTTACGTCGCGGGTTCGAATCGAGTCCCACTATGGGTCGTGAAGACCGGTCCTTTGGATAAGACCGTATAAACCGGGGGTCCCGTGTTGCATTAGAAGCAAGGCAAGAAATCCCTCACTCTTCAATGGCCCTAAAGGCCCTGGAGGGGCGTAAACTATAACAAACAAACAAGATGAATCATTTTTCTGTAAAATAAGAGAAGTATCAGTTGCACAAAACGTGTAAATAATGGAGCAATTAACCGTATTTGTATTCATTAAGTCTCCGACTTTGGAGGATAGATCTAATGAAAGAATTGTTTTAGATACTACTCTTCTGACATAGGCCCTATTCATACACACACATATCAATAAAAGTCATAGATATTTTTTTTTCTTTTTAAACACAGTTTAAGCATGATCTTCTGCAAGTATTAAAATTATATGCATAGACCCTCCTTCAATATTGACTGATTAAATCAAAATAGAAACATTTGACAGTATTAAAGGGATGTTAACGATGTACATTAATTTTAGATTGATTTTAAGAAAACATTATAAACACAGCAAATAAAAAGAAATACCGATTAAAAATAGTTAGTTTATAAAGAACAGGAAAGGAAAAAGAGATAAGAGGATAAAACTGAAAACTTTAAAGCTAACGAACCGTGATCGATATAAAGAAAATCTTCAGACAATTGAAATCCTTTAACAGGACACAGACTGTAGGAAATTCAGAGGTAGAATCAAGCGTCCAAGAGAAGTTAAGGCCTGTTGTTTCATATCTTTAGATTTTATCTATTCTTTCAGGAAAGAAATAATGTCAACAAACAAATGCATAAATGTTTTTGTATTAAGAGTTAGACAGAAAAATTAAAGATAATTCGATCATATTATCAAGATAACGGTAAAATAAATCGAAGTTAGAAAACGCTTTCAAATCGACAATATAAAACTTATGACATTTCTGACGTCATTCACAGCTGCATTTTATAAACAAAAATGTAACTCGTACATTGTCATGAGTCATTTGCAAAATTACCTTGTAAAACATTCTGATTGTACAAACAAGTACTCTAAAGTTGATGTTAAAAGATGCTCGAGTTTCTTACACTCAATATCTATGTGTTTTTCTGGTGACCAGATCTTCCAAAAATCTATTGGAATTTCCATGGTACCAATTGCGCCCCATTATTAGCAGATTTATTTTTGTATTCATAAGAAGCAAAATTTATTCAAAATCTCTTAAATGAAAAGAAGAAATACAATGGCTAGTAAAAATATTTTTTTTTGTATTTTTTTTTTCTCGAAAGGTAACTCATTCTATTGTTTTATTATGATTGCAATAAACCTTGCCAAAAAGGGTTATTGTTTGTAGTTGCAAAGATTTATGTAACATTTCATGTGACATTACTAATGAAATCTGTGCGGTGAAATTATTTCCTATGGACATATTTCTAATTTAACAAGTTATAAAAAGTCTCACTTAGAACGATGTGATTCTGTGAAAACAGGATATATATATGCCTATTTTTTGAAATTTGGTAAAATGATCACGCCATGACGATCTGTCTCGTCGATATACGCTTTGTAAAAAAGCAGGAAAATATGCTGAAAGATATCTCCGGTATCAGTGCCTGTTATATTCCGTTGTCCTGCTTTAGCACTAACATATATGGATGAATTTGGGGCTAAAAATATAAATCAACATAAGTATAGCTTAAAGAATTTTTAACTTAAAAGATTTTATGAATTACCAAGTAACTGTGTAGTACTTTAAGTTATGCCCCTTTTTGTACAGATATTACTTTTAATGGAGAGTATTCAAAACCCTTCATAAAATTTATTTTCAGTGTACTTGTCATGATTAGACTTCATAAATATATGACAAGATGACGTTAAAGAAATCATTCGAAGCATATAAGATTTTCTATATATAAAAAAATTATGACAAATAAATTTAGTTACTAAATCTTACAATTTTGTATAGATTTTATACAGTGCATGATATATGAATATATGACAAGATGACTTTAAAGAAATTATTCGAAGCATATAAGATTTTCTATATATAAAAAAATTATGACAAATAAATTTAGTTACTAAATCTTACAATTTTGTATAGATTTTATACAGTGCATGATATATGAACAAACGTTTTAAAATTCCAGCCAATTTAGTAACAACACCAAAATTCAATAGAAATTTGAAGATGGGACCATCTCGAAATGTCAAAGAGGTAGAGACAAATATTTTGTTTCTGAATACTACAAGGTTTTTTTCTTTACACTTGTATTTATCACAATTGTCTGTGTAGAGAAAAATTACTCAATTTTGAATTTTTGAACATAAAATATTTTTAATGAGAGAATATATCATTTCAAATCAATTTCCATACTCGTGAATATTTTTGATGAGGAAACGATTTATTTAAAATCAATGTCATACTTATAAATAAAGCATCTAGAAAGCAGCAATGTAATTTGTACAAGTTTAATTCTTTGAATAAGTCTCTCTTCAGAATACAATTTAGGATATAATACGGTAATTCCTATAATTTTCATGCGAATGAAAGGGTGTTATTACAAAACTTAACACCTTTCATAGTCGAAGTTTAAAAAAATGTGGCGGCCATGACATTTTTCTGAACTTGATATGGCATAAACTTAAGATTAAAAGTACAATACTCAGTGCATATCATTTTATTCGCAGTCATACATGCCCACATTATCTTCCCTTCAGAAAATTTGCCAAATCAACCTTATCCCTTAGATAAAGACTGCTGACTTAAGGAATCACTGTCAAGCCTTTTACTGTTTTAGGGCATCAACGATACTAGTAGTTGGAAACGTGGAACAATTTGCATAATGGGCGTACTGAACAAACTAGATAGTGATTCCTTGTGTTTCCATTTCACAGAGAAAAAAAAATGTAAATTTAGATTTAAAAAAAAATGTTTAATAGATTTAAATTACACAAGGCCTCCCATGTCAATTTCAATAAAGTTAGAAATATACATGCATTACTAGGCCAGACACAAAGACAGCCGCTCGAGATTTACATGCATTACTAGGCCAAAAACAAGAACAGCCGCACGAGATTTACATGCATATTAGTCCATAGTTCCGCTTGGTTGGCGAAATTTACATTCTGGTAAAATGATACAGAAATCAACTCACCTAACTTAATAATACAAACCTTGTATGCCAATAATTTTTGACATTCACCATGGAGTTTGACACTCTTTTAAAACAACCTTGATTATCACTTTGTAATAGTTGGAACTTGGACTTTCAAATTTCAGAATTGTATTCCAAAACCCTAGATAAAAATTTTGAATTTTTGTGATGTTCACAATACAACGCCTGGTCAGTTACAATAATCAAATGTATCATTGCTAAATCCTAGAAATCTAATTAATATAAATACAAATTAGCCTTTTAAAAAGGCAAAACGGGTGAAATGCTCTGAATTTTTGTTTTATTAAACTGCAGGATTTATCTCTCCTTAGTCAGAAAAAGAACACCTTAGCACCAGTAAGTTTTTTCTAACCCACAAGTTAGCATCAGCATGAACTGGGGGGGGGGGTATCTTAGATTTTAAATTAATATTTGAAGCCTAAAGCCTTGTTAAGAAATAATTAAGACTACTTTTTACTAAATATATACACAAGTAAAAATATAGTATGAACTTAATTTGTTTTAAACAGCAAAAATAAAATCCCACACACGTAATAATTAGTGCATTTAAATTTAGATGATTGTATTGATGTTTATCATATGCAATGATACACATCGAATTTGCCAAAGAATATCGACTCTTCGGTGACAATAATATGTTTTTCTTTTTCTATATTTCTAACAAGGTTGTTTTAATACTTAATTTATTAAACTTTTATTTCATGATTGAAAGTATTGGAAAGAAAGGGGGCCTCTCTTGATGCTACTTACCTAGTATACATTACATTACCCAAATACTTTATTCCTTTAATTCATTGAAAAACCTGGTCACATTCACTCGTAGCAAGAACTACAGTTCGCTTTTAAACTTAGTCTAAAGGTTCTTGGAATTTAGTTTATTGATATGTAAAAATAAAGATTTTCTTTTAAATATCAGTATTCAAATCAATAAAAAAAAACCTCGAGTTCCTGTGACTGATTAGATCCAGTATTTAGAGTCGCTTGATCCGACCAAGAGGCAGGTATTTCCCTTACATTATACACATACATACTTTGGTGTCATTAATATTCGTTGAGCACCAATTTTTGAAGATTTCATTGTTGAGCAGATCCACGAATTAAAATGTTAATTGAATTAAGAAATACTGTGGTTTAATTAATTTTCAGTTGGCATCAATTTTCGTGGATTTTGTAAATGTATGTTATTCATTTGTATAGGCAATGCTTTTGTCCATTTGTCCACGAAATTACGTATCCTCGAAAACGGCTGTTTTTAGAAAATCCACGAAAATTGATGCCAAC